CCTTCCCTTCCCTTCCCTTCCCTTCCCTTCCCTTCCCTTCCCTTCCCTTCCCTTTCCTTTCCTTTCTCTTCACCCTTCCCTTCCCTTCCCTTCCCTTTCCTTTCCCTTTCTCTTTCCCTTTCCTTTCTTTTTCTTTTGGATTCCACTTATAAGTGGAATCATATTGGGTTCTCTCAGTCTGACTTATTTCACTTAGCAGAATACCCTCTGGGTCCATCCATATCATCTCAGATGTCCTGATATCAGCCTTCTTATAGCTGCATAATTTTCCATTGCAGCTTCCTTGTCCATTTATCTGTTGATGGACACTTAGGTTGTGTCCATATCTTGGCTATTATAAACAATGCTGAAATAAGTATAAGGATGTATATGTCTTTGTGATATGGTGATATGGTGTTTTGTTTTCTTTGGATAAATATCCAATGGTGGAATTATTGGATCATATTGGATCATACCCATATAGTAATTCTATTTTTAATTTTTTGAGGAATCTCCATACTGTTTTCCACAGAGGCTGTATCAATTTCAGTCCCCACCAACAGTGTACAAGGGCTTCCCCCCGCCCCCACATCTTTGCCAACACTTTTTATTTCTTGTCACTTTGATTTTAGCCATTCTAACTGGTAATGATCAGTTCAAGTTTCAACAATTGCCATGAAACTGTTGGAGTTAATGTTTATTATGGTTTTTGTGTTAGTTGCAATTTATAGATCTTTATATTTATTATCTCATGTAATACTTATAGTAGCCATCTGATGGAGATACTGTTATTATAGTCTATTTTATGGATGAAGAAATGGAGCCAGGAGACAATGAGAACTTTGTCTCCCCCAACAGCTCTAATTGAGCCAGGATTTGAACTACTGCACCCTGACTCCAAAGTGTAAACATCATCATTAAACTAGATTTTAGCCAAAGCTGGCATAAGTAAGTAGAAAAAACTAGTGGTAGAAAGAAAGTTATATGATACTCAATTTAGATTTCTTCCTGGCAACAGTGAAAGTTACTGCTGAAACATGTAGATTTATTACATTGTTTACTTTGTAAGGCTATAATAAAGAGGCAGGTGGAACTCTGACCCAAAGAAGTAACTACAAAAGACATAGGATGCCAGGACCCTTGCATTCTAAAACTTTCATTGAAATCCTTATTTCAAAGGGTCTGCAAATTGTCGTGAAAAGGGACCATTGCATATGTTTATAACCTGTCTCAAAGTGATTTTACAGCTTTGCTTCTCTTTATTAAATGTTGTCATGAGTTACCTGGGAGAAAAGACTCGAGCACTGTCATAATCTCACTAATTTCTCAATTCATAAGGACGACTCAGCTACATGTGAGGGGAGGGTTGGGCCAGGCACCCTTCCCTTTACAGGAAAACTGGAAAGAGTCATCCAGAAAATATGAATCATGTTTGCACTAGTCCGACAGAGAAGGGTTCTTTGAATAGACATTAAGGGATAATTTCTGTTTTCCTGGGAAGCAAAGAAAGGACAAACTCTAAACTGTGGAGAATGAACATTGGAGATGGTTGTTTCTTATTTGTTCAATCTTTTCACTGAATCAGAGCCCTTACAAGTTATTCAGTCAGACCTTCACTCTTTCTCATCATCTCTTTTAAATTCAGACCACCAAGAATGTTCTCTAATTTTAGGGAATATCATGCAATGTCGTGGTTATTTGTGCTTCTAGGAATATGGGAAGGTTAATAAGAAACACTTCTGAAATATTACAATATTTTTTAAATGTTTAGAAATATAATCATAGCCTTATGTTATTTAGAATGATATTTCTTAAAAAACTTTATAATTTAAGATAAATAATATGTATATTAGTTACTTAGTTGCTTTAGTTATTTTAATATACTTCTTTTGAGTATTTAATAAATATTTCAATAGTTTCCTGACCATATAAATCAACTAAGTTGGCTTTTTTGATAGCCTTTTGATTGGAAATACAAATGAGGAGAAAACACTCCTTATCTTGAGAATTACTATACTTTTTTTTTTCCTTCCTCTGGTCTCCTGGTTATTTTGATAATTTTAGTTATATGATTTTTAAAGCATTGATATGACCTGAGTACTCTTGTATAGATAAGAATCAGAAATATTTCATTGAAAGCAAATCAGACTAGTAAATTAATAAAATAACACATGGAAGAAAGTAATTTAATATCTGTATACCCTATTTGCTAATTAAATGTATATAATTATATCATTATGGCTTCTATTGAATATAATACATATACAATACATATATTTTGAGGACATGGGTGACCAGTTTTTGAAAAGTCATTTATAATAACAACTACTATTTCCTGAGTTTGGCCAAGATTTTGTGTAGAGTTACCTCAAACTTTTGTGTGGGGATAGATGGACTGGTAAACTATGCATTTAGCCAGTCCTGGCTGGCTAAGGGTAGCTCTCCCTCATCTCTAGAATGGGATAGGAGTAGATCACATCCACTTTCCTCTGGGAAATTTGTAAAATGAATTAGATGATTCAAAGAAATCATTATATGTTTTAAATGTGATTTTTTGTTTATTAATTTTTTGGGGAAACATAATATAAGCTGGTGATATTACTTTTATAATTGGTTAGATACAGTGATTATTAATGAGTTCAATCATAGAGGTCATTCAATACATGTTTGATGAATACATTTCATAGGTATAATGCAGAAAATATGACCAGTTTGTCTTTTATATCTCACAGCTTATATGTATGTGTATGTACTCTATCTCTATATATATACATATATATTTATAGACCTTTTAAACTTAAAATGTAAAACCCCCAGAACATTCTAATAAGCTTTGTATTTATCAGGACAAACCCTTAATTGAAAAAAAAATGATATATGTTTAATTACTTAGAGATTAAAATTTAATTTTAGACAATTTAATGTTCAATAGCTGATTTAAGAGTAAACTCAATTTTAAAAGTTAAGCCTCATATCATGGTAGAGATGTTAAGAAAAACAAATACTAGATATTCTCAACAAACTGGATATTCTCAAATACTTATTTTGAATGCTGTGTAGGAACCAGTCAAGTGTAGTAATATGAAACTGAACACCAGATCTTGAATCTTGAATTCAAATCCCAGTCTCAACATTTACTGGTTGTATAAGTTGGGAACATTACTTAATCTTTCAATTTCCTCATCTGTAAAATAGGGATAATAATTCTACTTTATATATTTGTTTTGAGGATTAAATGAATTAGTAAGTCTAAAGCACATAGATGAGCACAAGTCCACAATAAGTGCTTACCAAGTATTAATCACTTCTGTCATCACACTTTAATGTATGTGCTACCAACATGAGCACGGTCAACAAATTTTTTTTAAAAGGTGTAAGAGATGGGGCACCTGGGTGGCTTAGTGGGTTAAAGCCTCTGCTTTCAGCTCAGGTCATGGTTTCAGGGTCCTGGATCGAACCCCGCATCAGGCTCTCTGCTCAGCAGTGAGCCTCCTTCCTCCTTTCTGCCTGCCTCTCTGACTACTGTGATCTCTATCAAATAAATAAATAAAATAAAAAAAAAAGATGTAAGAGAATCACTTTACTATGAAGTGACCTTTTATTATTATTATTCACGTCAAGATACATAAGAGCATTCTCTTTTTTAATAAATGAATGAGCAAAGGGAAAAGAGAAAGAGGGAGAGAGAGAGAGAGAAAGAAAACAAGGAACAGACTCCTCACTATAGAGAACAAACTGATCATTACCAGAGGGGAGTGGGTGGGGTTGAGGGTGAAATAGGTGATGGGGATTAAAGTGTACACTTACCATGACATGATGAGCGCTGAGTAATGTGTAGAATTGTTGAATCATATATTGTACAACTGAAACTAATAGGACACTATGTTAACTATACTGGAGTTTCTCTTTTTGAGCATCAGGAAGAATCAAGAACCAGT